TATATTTATATTCATGTGTATACCCCTTGTTGTTCTGGCTCAGGTCCTGGTATGGGTGCCCCCTTGGTGACGGTGGCTCTCGTGGCTCGTACAGTATCGCAGCTTTGGGGGAAACCGCTGCTCGGTGTCAACCACTGTATCGGACACATCGAGATGGGTCGACTCATCACCAAAGCCAACAACCCCACTGTGCTGTATGTCAGTGGGGGCAACACACAGGTTGGTTTATTTTTCTGGGTCTCACTAAAGAGGAAAAAGTGCTGTAACTGTATTAATGATTGTAAATACTGTCGTCCATTGTTCCTGTGCAGGTTATTGCGTACTCAGAGCAGCGGTACAGGATATTTGGAGAGACCATCGACATTGCAGTTGGAAACTGTTTGGACAGGTTCGCCAGAGTTCTAAAGGTTAGTGTAACATTTTGTCTTTAAAGCAGCTTTTGGGCTTTGACCCTTTCTGAAAGATGTGTGTATTAATACTGTTTCTCTCCTCAGATTTCCAATGACCCCAGTCCAGGCTACAACATAGAGCAGATGGCCAAAAAGTGAGTGGTGGTTTACGATTAGAATTCCACATTATCTTCTGCTGTTGGCCACTCAGCAGCTCCACTGAGATACATGAGGATGTGTAGTGTGTTTAATTAGTAACAGGACTTAATTGTGTTTGTGTTGTTAGAGGGAGTCAGTATGTGGAGCTGCCATATACTGTTAAAGGAATGGACGTGTCATTTTCTGGGATTTTATCCTACATTGAGGTGAGTTATGATTCAATCCTTAAACAGTAACATTGTGAAACTGATTCACAATAATACAATTGGATGTTTCTTACTTTATGTTCATAATCAGTTTGTCTTTGCTAGGAGGCTGCTAATAAGATGCTGAGCTCTGGTCAGTGTACAGCAGAGGACCTGTGTTTTTCACTGCAGGTACAATGAATCCACACACCCAAGTCATTAATCAACCAATGGTTGCAGCTCTAATCCTCATCAGCTCCTCTTACAGGAGACGCTATTCTCCATGCTGGTGGAGATCACAGAGAGGGCCATGGCTCACTGCGGCTCCGAGGAGGTCCTCATCGTCGGTGGCGTTGGCTGTGAGTATAACAGAAACGTACTGTCTGTGGAATGACACATTGTTAATGTCCTTTGTACCTGTGGGTATGTTTTTGTTGAAGGTGAAATGTCTCAGTAATCCTAAAAATATCAACAGTAATGTTAAGAGTGAGCTTTTGTTTCTGTTGAAATGCAGTGGGATAATTTGACCTCATTAACTTGAATAGTGCTACTTTGCTGCTGGTTTATATTTACCAGTCAATGTGTGAAATGTAGCTATAGTTCATTGAAACAATTGATTATAAACATTTTACTGTAAGTGATATTGAGGAGACTCATGAGTTTATTTAACAAAAGATTAGATCTGTGTTTATGATGTAGAGTCCGTTGTGTGTAGAGAATCTGAGCTGTTGTTAACTGTGCAGGTAACCTGCGTCTGCAGGAGATGATGGATGTGATGTGTCAGGAGCGAGGGGCTAAGCTGTTTGCCACAGATGAAAGGTAAACCAGTGTGTCCACACTCAGCATTCCTTCTCTTAAAAATCCCACTTAGTTTCAGATGCAACCTGGACAGTTGTTGTTCAAGATTCAGTCCAGATGAGTAAGTTTAATGTTTCCCCTCAGATTCTGCATAGACAACGGAGCAATGATTGCCCAAGCTGGCTGGGAGATGTTCAGGTCTGGTCAGGTGACGGAGCTGAAGGACTCATGGATAACACAAAGGTAGACATTTTGCATTCCCCCTCATTTCCTTTATCTACTTCCTGTCTTCTCCTTCCTCTTCCCCTTCCTTTCAATCGTATCTCTCTATCTCTCTCCCTCCCTCCCTACCTACATCTGTCTCCCTCCCTCCCTCCCTATCTCCCTTCCCATCTCTCTCCCTCCCTTCCTATCTCTCTCTCTCTCGACCTGTCTCTCTCGACCTGTCTCTCTCGACCTATCTCTCTCCCTCCCTATCTCTCTCCCTCCCTATCTCTCTCCCTCCCTATCTCTCTCCCTCCCTATCTATCTCCCTTCCTATCTATCCCTCTACCTAACTCTCTCCCTATCTCTCTCTCCCTCCCTCCCTATCTCTCTCTCTCTCTCTCCCTCTCTATCTCCTTCCCTACCTCTCTCCCTCCCTATCTATCTCTAACCTATGACTTTTTTAGGTGATTT